TTACATACTTGCACTGCAACCAAGTGATGGCAATTCTCACGTGTAAGCAACACACAGAGGGAAAAGAAAGCCACAAATCTAAATCCCTCATAAACAGACTTTGAATTTTAGACCTATTGGATGACACCTGGACAAATTCAGCACTAACATGCCCACCACATGAAAAACTAGGTGAAGAGCAAAAACTCCTTTCTATCAATATCTGTATGGTTTTCTACACCTATCTGCAAAATACTGAAAATGCAGGTTTGCTATTTCATCTGCCACTGAAATATACAGGTGTTCAGTACACCAGTGCTAATTAACATGTGACAAAAGATCAGTTCAATTAATAAAAGGTATGAACTGAATAGAGCATATAAACTTTTTATATAATACAAATGTCATGGAGCAAACTAGAACAAATAGTTAAAGTTTTCTAAAAGAATTAATACTGATTAAGTCTTCAAACTGTTTCTCATTGCAATCCTACACTAATCAAAGGAACCATGAGATAAGGAAAAATAAACTTACCTTGTTCCTTTGTTTTCTGCTTAAAACCTAGTATCTCAAATTTCAAAACACTCCAGAAAAATGGCAATGTCTCCATTAACACTATTAAGTTTCTCATAAATGTTATGTCCCAAATAAACATAAAGACTCTTGAGATTTAAAGAGACCTTCAAAGAATTATCAAATTCATCAACCTATTTTTAAGTCAAATCATATTTGTTTTGCTCAAACAACATAAGACTCTACCTTGCCTTTAAAGACCATGGGGAAGGAGGACAAGTGTCAACCCCATCAGGGCACTCTTCCATAATTGAAAGGGTTGTTTTTCATTTGCTGTCTCTTTTTTTAAATGGTCACTAAAAGAGGAAAAAATCTGCTAAAGTAAACAAATTTCTTTTCTTCTATCCTGTACAAAAATCTTACCATACAAATAATTGTACAGAGGAGTATCTCCAAAGCTGCAAGTTGAACCTATGAATAAATAAAAGGCTAATGACAATATTAACAAAATATTTAAATGCTTCTTGCATAAATTCCAGTACTCCATATTCTAGAAAGACTGCTAACAACAATCAGCATTTTTTTAATATACATCTTTCATACTTGAGAAGACATTTTAAACATATGTGTGCCATCAGCCATTCTTTAAGGGTCTGCAGTTCACTAGCTGTTACCAGTGTTGCTCATTACTCATTCAGAAAAACACTATCCTGGCCCAAGAGAAAGCAGTTTATTTTATGCAGATAAATGAGAAACTGAACTAAAAAACTGCCCTATGGGATTGAGCACTTTGCAAGCAGTACTCTCCCGACCCTGCTGCCATCCCGTGGGCCTGCGCACCCAGCATGCACCACCATACATACCCACATACACACATACATCTACCTTTACAAGCGTCAGCAGGGCTCACATTAGGCACTTGCTAAGGAGGTGATTTAAGGGAAATGGTATGAGAAACTGGTACAGCAGCACCACCTAGTGGGCTCTGCAGAGAGGCTCAGAGTTCCCCTTGCTAATGCTTCATGGATGAGCAATTTGTTCTACCTGTTATCAGGTCACTCTAGCTTTCAATCCCCAACTGACTAGAGGTTCCAAGATCAGACCTCACAGACGCCAAACAGAGCAAGCGCTGCATAGGTATTCCATAGGCTCTCTCAAGTACTGGTAGACCCTGCGACCTCAGCACATGTTCCCTTTGATGCCAATCAGGAAATCACAATTTACCATCATGACTTTTAAAAGGGAAACCATAAAAGGCACAGGCCATTAAGCATTGTCTAATCAACCCTCCAGACACACTAATTTTAAGTCAGAAACATAAATAACAAAATAATCTGCTGCATTTATTCATTCCATAAATATTCAGTAAACTATGTACATAATTTTAATCATTATGAAACTTGATTAGTCTGCAAAGTTGTCCAATTTCTATAAGAACAGGGAATGCTAAAATACCTAATCAGATTACAGAATTATTTATAGAGTAGCAAACATGCACATATGTTGCTAAATTTTATTACTTTAATGATAAATACGAAATTCAAACAACTTGGTCCCCAAAATTCTCTAGGATTGTTTTTAAAAGCAAATTAAGAATTTCTGTCTCGACTCCACCTTACTCTCAACCATGATATTCTCTGTCTGAAAATGACAAAAGTATGTCTATCTTCCCTATAGATAGTGGGTTCTCAAACAGGAGGGACTTGACCCCGTAGGGATATTTGACACTGTCTGTTAGGTCAGGAATGCTGCAGCCTACAGCACAAATGACAGTCACCCACAAAAAATAAATTATTTTGTCTAAAAGGTCAATAGAACCAAAATTGAAATGCCTAGATTATAAGATGTTAGAAGACAGGAACAACGTCTTATTCAAAAATGTACTCTTAAGAACTTGGCAAGGTAAAGTAATAGTTGTTTGGTGTAATAAATTGACACTGACATCTAATTCTTAACATCCCCCATCTGTGTGAATAAGAAGGCAAACAGACTGTCTAGCATCCAGAAAGGTTGGCTACAGCTCCAGAAAAAGACTGAAACTGACATTAGCACACACATACATTCACTACATAGACATAGTAAAATAATTTGTCTGGACTTACGTTGGCCTGGATGAAATACCACACAAAACTGCTCTGGCTTCTCACAACCATGCACTTGCTAGATCACATTTAAAAGAAGGCTAACATCAGGAAAAGACACCCTTGACTATACAGATAGGGCAGAGCATCTGTATCCTTGGGAAAGAGCATTCCACCCTACACACAAGTGATAATTTTCAAACTGTATATTCAAAGCCAGCCTGTGTGAATCCAATCATCAAGAGACACTAAACAAGACTGGATCACAGACACTGCATTGCAAGAGACTGACCAAGGTACTGGCACTTTCTTGAGGATTATTGGTAAAAAAAAGTCACCCAGGCTTCTGGCCATGGCCATCTTTCAAACTATGACAGCATTTTTGAGTGATTTTCTTCCCCAAAATGAAATTTCTCCTCGTATTTTCCCACTGAAGACAACCACTGTAAACATTTTTGTAAACATCATTCCAAGAAATTTTCCAATGCATATAAAAGTAAAAATAAAAAAAATCTGATCTACAGCCTGTTATTTTCACTCAAATATGTATCATGGACATCTGTATGTCAATAAACAGCTCTACATTGTCATTTAAATTGTCCTTAGGTGATCTTAAACAGTCAAGACATACTCTTTTCAAAGTACCAATTGTTTAAAGATAGAAAACATTCCCTAAGGAATATGGGATAAACACAATCAAGGTAAGGCACAGTATTGTGAAGAAAACAATAAGCTTTGCTACTTTGGGATAAAATCATCAGATTTCAGATGTTTAAATACAACTTTTGAATGGCATTAAAATGATCCATGTTGTCCTTCCCTGCTCTTTCCTTAAAACTCCTTTGAGACTGGTGAGGGGGCAATAAATCACTAAGGAAGCTTTCAAGGACAGGAGAAGCCAGGACATAGGTCCTTAAATGTCAGTATCACGAGCAGTGACTTCTCATCCTGAGGGGTGTAAAACTGGTAACAGAAGTCATCTTTCAGGAGAGAGAACCAAAGGTGATTATTAAATGTAATGTTTGAATTTTTGCAAATACACACTACTTATAAATCAGAAAAAACTAAAATGTAAGACATTTGTTAACATTTGTCACTCTAAACATTAACTCCTTCAACATGTGATGAACTCAACATTTTTTTATATTCTGCATTAAAATTAGAGTCCTACCTCTGGCAAATGATTTTTGTTTATTTATTTCTTGTTATTTATTTTTTTTCATTGGTGACCAAATACAAGATTTCAAACTTTCCTATAGAAGCCCAGGAGCTGAAGAACTTTACTGTCTTCTGATAGTCACTTGTGAGCTTTATAGGGCCATTTAAATAACTCATTCATTTCCATCTCTTTGATAAAACTTCCATTACCACATCCTGAGCATCCTGATCCCACCACTCATATTTGTCAACAGCCACCACCAGGTCCATAAAGGGTCACATATTTTCTAGCAATGTGAAATTCTGGATGGAGTTATAATGGAAAACAGCAGGGTTCACTTTCCCTTTTCTAAGAACAAAAGACAGTAGACTAAATTCTAGTGCCTGAGATAGAGTCCAGAGATAATACACCCTGTTCCCCATTAGGGAAGAGACTAATAACAAAACGAGTTACAGTGCCTGAAATATTCCACAGTGGAAAAATCTCAAGTTAAATATAACAAGGTCAAGAAATCCTAGGGTATTAAGTCCATATGTAAGACATGCTCCAATATCTTAAGGTCATGCAGTTTAACGTAAGGAAAATTTTCATTAAATATGAAATATAAGGGCCTAAACTAACAATCTGTTGGCTCACAGTTTAACAGAACTCCAAGGTTACTTCAATATTGAAGATACTAAAGGCCTACCTTTTCAATGGAAAATACTCTTTAACAAAGAGAACCAGTGGGAAGATTTTTATGAATGTTTCTAAACAGGTCAGATGATAATTAGAGAGTTTGGCAAATTAAATTACTTTTATCTATTCATAACTGAGAAAATCCCTCAGTAATAATAAAGTTTTCATATTTCTCTGCAAGTCTCTTCATGAAGAGATGATGAAATCAGGTTAGGTGCATTTTGCTTAAGTCAAGACTCACAAAAGAGAGGCAAGAAAAAGGAAAACTAACAATTTCAATAGAGATAGTTGGATAACTCAGGTCCATTGCTAACAAACCTCAGCAGATAGCCTATAGTTTAAAATTTTACACTAATCCAGGAAGTAATCTCTGCCTCATTTCAAACAGAAGTTGAGGAAGGTTACATGCATACTTATAACAGGAAAAGAATATGTATACATAAGTAAATTTAGGCAAAAGGGAATAAAAGGTAGAATAATAAAATGAAGCTCAGAGGAAAATTATCTTGGGAATGTATACATTAGCAGAAATATTCAGAACTTGAAATTAACACTAGTATATGAGGTAAAAAAGAAGCTTTGCCACTCACCAATTTTAACCTCTGTAAAGGTATTCTGTCTACATCTATCTGTGTCCTTTCCGGGACATTAGTGAATCGAACTTCTGGGACCGCAACGGCACACATGACATGGGCCCACCTATAGGAAAGGAGACATTAGACATAAACAGAAGTTCCCGGAACTTACATACTTGCACTGCAACCAAGTGATGGCAATTCTCACGTGTAAGCAACACACAGAGGGAAAAGAAAGCCACAAATCTAAATCCCTCATAAACAGACTTTGAATTTTAGACCTATTGGATGACACCTGGACAAATTCAGCACTAACATGCCCACCACATGAAAAACTAGGTGAAGAGCAAAAACTCCTTTCTATCAATATCTGTATGGTTTTCTACACCTATCTGCAAAATACTGAAAATGCAGGTTTGCTATTTCATCTGCCACTGAAATATACAGGTGTTCAGTACACCAGTGCTAATTAACATGTGACAAAAGATCAGTTCAATTAATAAAAGGTATGAACTGAATAGAGCATATAAACTTTTTATATAATACAAATGTCATGGAGCAAACTAGAACAAATAGTTAAAGTTTTCTAAAAGAATTAATACTGATTAAGTCTTTAAACTGTTTCTCATTGCAATCCTACACTAATCAAAGGAACCATGAGATAAGGAAAAATAAACTTACCTTGTTCCTTTGTTTTCTGCTTAAAACCTAGTATCTCAAATTTCAAAACACTCCAGAAAAATGGCAATGTCTCCATTAACACTATTAAGTTTCTCATAAATGTTATGTCCCAAATAAACATAAAGACTCTTGAGATTTAAAGAGACCTTCAAAGAATTATCAAATTCATCAACCTATTTTTAAGTCAAATCATATTTGTTTTGCTCAAACAACATAAGACTCTACCTTGCCTTTAAAGACCATGGGGAAGGAGGACAAGTGTCAACCCCATCAGGGCACTCTTCCATATCTAAAAAAACACTGTAATTCTATAACAAAGATTATTTCTTTTTGTCCTAGCCCAAGGGGAAGAAGAGAAGTTCTTAATCATCTCTCTTTACAGGAAACACCTAGCTCACCTCACAGTCTGCATGACTGTGTAACATCCTCAAGCTCACCAACGCTTTTTGGAATAGTGCCAATCACATTAAAAAGACTGAAAGATGAAGACCAAAATTAAGCAAAAATACAGTTTCTTAGACAAAACTTTATCAATACAGGAATGCTAAATGCCTTTGCTCTTCCTTATAAGAGACTAGAAGCATGTGCACATGCACATAACTATGCTAACTCCATCATTACATTATACCACACATCCCAACTCCAGTGCCCATGGGGATGTAAGCAGATACATATAAGCCGGTAAATCATGGTAACCTGGGGAACAACTGCCCCATTTAGGCCAGATTCTCATCCCGACTTATTATGGCCATATGGAGATGCATAATCACTTTTTAAGTAAAGATGAAAATCTAGATTATTTTATATAAAAACTCTCAACTTCTAAAATTTCATCAAATTTGTAAAATAGTGTGTCAGTCAAATAAAACCCATATTGGGGCTGGATATACTCAAACTATTTCTACATGTTTCAATTTCTGGAGAAACCTATAAAATACTTTAGCCCCATTTTAAATATTAAAATCAGGTCATAAAAATAAAATTCACAGAAAACATATTTCAACAACCACCATAAAAGCCAGATTACTTTTCTTATATATTCATTTATAACTCTCTTTCATGACTTTCTTCATATTTTCCAACTGTCCCTAACCTGTAAATCTTAAAATCAATGCTTACTTCCTGTGTTTCTATTTTAGTACACATATTTTCTTGTTAATTTGCTGTGGTTAAAAGGAAATTGTTTTGTTTTAATGTTATGATCATGATTGATTCTGTTATCTGAAGATAACAGATTTCACTGTTTTCAGGCACACTGTTTTTATTAAATTAATAGGATTCATTGCATTAAACACTAGGATTCCAATGGCATCTACACAACATGGGCTGTATTCATTTTAAAAACTGGTAGAAAAAAGAGGGGTTATTTTTGAACGTGTCAAAGACACAGAACAGAAGTAAGATTCAGAACACCTTCATTCAGCAGAGGTAAAGGTGCTTTTACCAATGGACTCTGAAGACAAGCACAGAATCCCAGTCTCAGGTCTGGACAGCAAAAGCTTTGGAACAATGTGTACAATAATGAAAGGTAAAGCAAACTTCCCGCAGAGGTTCAGTGTTCTAGGGAGGAGAAGGAAACAACAAAATTCAGCACAATTAACGTGCTACTTACTTATTGTTCTTAGTTTCCTTAAGAGCACCCCCTCTCAAATTGCAGAGACAGCACTCCTAGGGGAGAAAAAATATCACACAATAATCAGACCCATATAACAAGTCATTACTGTTTATCTAAATATTCCTATAAATGCTAATCTATTCTTTTAAAATTATAACCATCAGGAACTTTATGAAGGCCTATCTCTGAGCAGTGCAAAAGGAGAAATGAAAGAGAGGCGGGAAAGCAAGAGTTCACCCAAAAGCATTCTCAGCATGGATATCTCCTAGAGCAAACCATCTTCTCCTGGTATCATATTCAAATGGCACATCTGGGGGTAAGCTGTGATACAGTGGCAGAGGAATGAGCTGGACCTCAGAGCAGAGGACACACCCATGCCTGGGTCCTCTCTGGCACTGGGGATACACTCACATATACAGGGTGCATAAGAAGTGGAGTATTGGCAGGCTTCATTCAGATAGAAGGATAAGCAGGAAGATCTTTAAAAGACACCCTTTTCACAAAATTATCATTTGGGTCTGTTTGTGGGTAAATGGTGTTGGAAAAATTGTTCTGATAAAACACAGGAAGCATGATATATTTTTCTTTGTCCTTCCCATAAGTGTAAGTATTTGGCACCTTTAAGTGTCTTAGATTGGTGTAGACATTTTCACTCTAAGATGACTCCATTTACTACAAATGCATGCTTTATTCATCATTTCTCTCTACAATCCTATGAAAAGTCTACAAGAAAACAGGGCCTAAGAGCAATGCAATGTCTTTCGTTGACCTAGAATATTTTAATTAAGTACATCTAAGTAGCTTTTTTATTTTCAACCTCAATCTTGTCCTCCCAATTTAGAGCATTAATAGATATTTTTTTAAATAATCATATGTTATTTTGGGGTTTTCCCTCCAAGCTGTATATATAAAATTTCTTTATCTGATCTCCAAGGTAAACTCCCTTAACTAATTTTGACAGTTTGGCATAACTTTACAAGGAATTCCTCTACCTTATATGCTATTAATAACAGGCTGTCAAACTCCATAGCTTTTATTTTTCTGAGGAGAACAATACCACAACAACTGAGGAGAACCACTGTATCTGTATAACTCTTAACAGACAGCAGAAAAAGCAAATGACAAGAAATACACAGCAGTTTTATGTGTCTGGAAAGTCTCTGCCCCTCTATTCAAAATTTCCCACGTGGCTATTAAAGGTCATAAACCCAGTTCAAGAAGATAACTTGATGGAAAATTTTCTCTATAACAAAGCCATATCCTGCAAGACTTTGAAATAACTGGTTTTGATGAAGTATACAATGGAAGAGAAATTTCACAATCCAAATATTAAAAATGAGAAATTCAATAATTCAAATATTCAATAACATCCAGATTATTCAAGAATAATTTCATAAAACATTATTGATTTTGAGTGTTTTTTTCAGTAACTTAACACACTTTCTTCAGAGAATGAAAATGAACACAAAACTTGAAGTCAGATGTTTTCAATGAGTATAAAAAGATGTCAGTATGGAAGTAGAAATGCATCAGAGACTGTGGACTGTGAGGAGCTCAGACACTAAGAGAATTAGATGTCTGATGAATGAAACCAGTAGTGAAATGAAACCTAATGGGACAAGTTAGCAGAGTTAAATACAGCAAAGCAGTGTGGAAGCTGCTTGAAAGCACTTGATGAGGATCATTAAAAGGTAAGCATGTTGCAGAGCATGACTACATCAAGAGGAAAAAGTCCTTTAAAAGAGAATATGTAGACTCAATATTTTAAGTGCAGTTGAGGAGAATCCCACCTACAAAAATATGAAACCAGTGCTTTCTAGGATCATGGGTGACCTCCACCAGTCACAAAATCTAATGGATAATTCTAGGTCCTTGGTTCACCTGATGGCTTAATAGCACTCAACATTGTTGATCATGCCTGAAACAGCATCTCCCTATGGTTTCTATGACCCTACAGCCTCCTCATTTTTCTCCTCCATCTTTAGTTGATCTTCAGCTTCCTTTAACAGGCTCCTTAAACACTGTTAATTTCTGTAGTAGGTGCCATTCACTTCTCTATCCACAACTGCTTATTGGACATCTGATCCAGTACCCTGATTCTCAAAAGGCCAATATTTCAAACACTTATTTCCCGAGATGTCTGACAGCTCCACAGGCATCTCAAACACACGTGCAAAACTGAACTCGTGTCTTCTTCCTAAGCCTGCACGCCCGTTTCCCGCCAATGACAACCACCCATTCTAGCTCATGCTGGAAGACATAATTTTCCTCTCATCCTAGATCCAGTCAACTGAGTTCTCCAAATCCCACCTCCAAATCTGCCCTCTTCTCTCCTTCACCACTGATATCTCAGTCTCTTCACCAGACCTAAACTACTGCAAGAGCCACCCATAGTCAATGTGGAACCTATCAGAGTGGGTTTTAATACTTCTCAGAATCAAATGTGCAGTGAAGGGCCAGGACCTTGTACAGTCTCACTTTATACTACTCTCTATCTTAGACACCCCAGGGACCTCCCATAATGGTCCCTCCACTCCCAAACACTTAAGACACACCCCACTCCATTCCTCATTAATTACACAAAACAATCTCATAGAGACAAAAGTCTAAGTGACTTTGTCGCCAAGAGATCTTATACTAGAATAAATTCTAAAATAAAACATTCTTCAGAATGAAGGAAAATGACACCAGCCTGAACCATGGATTGGCAGGAAGGAATGAAGAAAACCAAAACAAAAGGGTAAATATGTGGATCAATAAATTTTTAGTATCTTCAAAACACACACACACAAAGAGAAAAAAAGTAGAAAGAGAAAAAGAAAGACTATGTTTCATAAGACTTGACTATTTCAAACAAAAATAATAAAACTGTGGAGTATAGTGCATGTAGTAGATGTAAGATTATATCTAAAGGAAATGGAGGCTAATGAAATTGCTCTACTGTAAGGTTCTTACATTGTTCAGGAAATAGGATGATATTATTAGAAGGTGGATTGTGATGACTCCAAAATGAAAATTGCAATTTTCGGCAACCACCTAGAATAAATGCCACAAGAAATTCCCAAATATTAAGTGCTAAGGAATATAAGTTCAATCAAAACTCAAGAAACATACAAGAATATACAGTTCCATGAGCAGAAAAAAAACAGTAGAATAAGATGCACAATCATCTCAGACACAATGTAAAACTAGCATTTTAATATGTTTAAAAAATAAATGTGGGTATAAATAATTGAGATAAAAAACTAAAAGGATATGTTAAATAGCAAACTATTCTTAGTTGAAGAGAAAATTAGAAAACAGAAAGCTAGACCTGAATAAATAACCAAAAATTAATACCACAAACTAGTTAAAAATGAATACAACTGATGTGTATGTAAGAGAAAGTGTGTGTATAATTGTCTCAATTCACAAAAATAAGTTCCAATTAATTTAAACTTAAAAACAAAACAAAACTATAAAGTATTAAAAGAAATTTCAGGCAAATATATTGATGAATTTAGGATAAACATGACTTCTTAATAAAACATTTAAAAGACAAAAGGCATATTGGAAAATAAATAAATTTTAAGTATATCAAATTTTTTTAATTCTAAAGGATACTATAAAAATTAACATAAAATAAGAAAATATTTCCAATATAAAACACATAGTTATCCAGAAAACAATTTTTAAACCCATACTTTTTGAAAAATAGCCAACAGATTCAAAACTCATCATTGGCAATAAACACATGGAAGATATCCAACTTCAAGAATAAAGGAAATGAAAAATGAAATAGTATATAACTTCACATTTTTAAAATCTGATAATATGTAGTTTTGGGGTATGTGAGTTGTTATGGTGGTTCTGGAAAAGAATTTGGCATTATCAATCAAAAATTTGAATGTGCATAAATTACAACAGTAATTCAACTTTTTAGATAAAAACTTGGATAAACATTCAACTATCTTAGATAAACATTTAAATCTTTGTAGAAGGAGGAATGTACAATTACTATCATTTCATTTCTGCTTAGAGAAAAACAGTTGCCTCTAGGAGGAACTGGAATTACTGGTTGCACAGCTTTTATTTGTGACATCTGAGTTTTTTTTAAAGAATAGATTTAATCTTAGAATCTAAAAATTTTTTTAATGAAAAAGATACGGTGAATCCACACATGCTGAGTTACTAAGAATTACACAATGTAATATTAGGTGAAAGCACTAAGGCATGTTAAATAAACTGTGATATCATTGGGTCCCCCATGAACAGCAAGACATGACATTAGTTTGTGCATAGAAAAGATCTAAAAGGCCAACTGGCAAAATAGTATCAACCTTCTGTAAAAAATTAGACTTGAGGATTTTGGGAATAGGAGACCTTCCTAAAAATATTTAGTACTCTTATGTTAAAAAAAGAAAACCCAAAGACAGATGAAGAAATTGAACCTATTCTGTTAAATATGTATAATTTAAAATTAATTTTAAGTATGGAGGTTTATCCTATTTTTTTCTATTTTTCTACTTGAATGAAAATTTTAAATGGGCACTTCTGGTTTCTTGTAAGTCTTTCAGTGTACCAAAACTTCCCTCTAATCTAACCTATGGAGATACCAAAACCGCCCAGCCTTAAACAAAATAAATAAATAAAATTCAACAGTCAGCGCTCATTGCCAGCCTTGTTTTCTTATGTTTAATGAACATGCCTTTTCCAAAAACAGTAATACCCAGTATAAAATGACTCACTATTACAAAGACTTAAATATATTCCTAGTCAACCCACGTTTCCTAAAATAAAACAAAAACATACGGAAATGCCTGTTACAACAAGACTATAAAGCGGCTGGTATTTCTGTCTCCAAGAACAGCATTAAAAGAGCAATTTTCTTCTATCTGTCCCCCACCAAGGCAGCTAAGAGTTGATGAAGAGTATAAATTCAGATCATATTTTATTGTACTTTCCCTGCTTGGGTCCCTTTTCCTCACCTAATACTATGCACAAAATCCCCTTTAACATACCAAGTATTTTTAAAACTTGGTTTCATAAAAAAAATCAACACTGCAGTGAACAC